TAAGGATTAGTATCAAATTATTTGCAAAGTGATTAATAGCAGACTGTAACAAGAATTGTTTGATACTCAAAAGATGTTTGCACGTATTCACAAGTTTCATTCAGTAGAGATTATCTCGAATACTCTTCTTAATTTATTTGTTCTTGTAATTCTTCCAATTAGCGCGCATATGTGGTGTAATTTTATTTATTTTTAACACATTTTTTCTTGTATCACATTTACAGTATCACGCATGAGACCACCAGTATTACAATACATTTACCTAATATTAAATATTTAATATAATCTTCCGTTAAAATCTGAAAGTCACAATTGTGCACATAGAAAAGTACAAGTTATAAAACAAATCTCTCCCCAGCGAGAAATAATTTGTCGATCGATGTCAAAACAATGTCGAATCGATGTCAGACGTTTTGATGTCGATCGACAATTCATTTCTCGCTGGGTCGCTAAAATGTGTGCTGTTCTTATATTATATAAAATAAGACAAATTAACATAAGTGAAATAATAGAAAACAAAAATTAGGATTGTATTCAAGGATGTACATACGATAAGTATACTAAATTGTGTGTGTGATTATATAACAATTAATAAGTATATATTTGTACCATAATTATTATGATTAGTATGATTTATCTTTATATTGAGGTAAGAATCAAACTACTTTACAACATAGTTTACAATTTTTCAATCTGTGTACATTTACAGATTTACTTTATTTCTATGATCGAATTTTAAAATTTTCTTTATTATTTCTTAACTATTATGAATCTACGCTCAACAGTTGTGTTGCAACGGTTCTATTTTAAAATACTACGACAGCATAGAAAAAAACATGTTTAGTCGATAAATGTCCTGGATTTTATATGTGTGCTAGTAGGAATATTAGACTGATATATAAGCAGTAATTAGCAACGTTCTATAACCTTTATAACTCCTACCTCTACTATAACCTTTATAATTCCTACCTCTATAACCTTTATTACTCCTTTAAGCAAATGCTATTCATTGTATAAGTGATGATAATAATGTATTGCATTATAATAACATAAATGCTTAAAAATTGTATTATAACATTAATATTACCTTTTGTAACTTATCTCACAAGACTATTCAACTATTATTTTTCAACATCTATAATTTAGAAAATAATTAGGTGTAATGTTGACAAGAAACAAGAATCGTGGCCAATGGGATAAAGCATAACTCGGTAATTATTATGCTTAAGAAGAAAGCCACACGAGACAAGAATTGAAAAATCTTATAAAATTATCTTCCTCAATATTTTTACTGTCAACTTCTGTTAAATGAGGAAAAATGGAGTTGTACGTTTCATGAATGTCGAATTTTGCGTTATTTCTATGGACAGGTACAACAAAAGTTTGATGTTAAATACTTTTTGAGATTGGTTAGAAAAAGAAAGAGATAAAGAATTAGTGTCTCGTTACAAAAATAAATGTTTATTTATATATAATACACTTTTGAAAAACTTATAAGTAGAAAATAAACTTAGAAGTGAAAAATCAACTTAAACTCAAACTTTTTCTCTGTCTTCATTTGCTCCATTTTCCATCTTATTGTTAGCCAATTGTTTGATTCCTCTTCATCTACTTTAATCTATAAACAAACAGTTCGTCACGATTAAAAATATACATATAAAAAATTTCTTTTCAAATACATTAAAATTAAAAATAAATTTATAGTTTTGAGATATACAAGGTTTGAAAAGTATACTGAAATGCGACAATATCTCGAAAGCAACATTAAGTTCAGTTAAGTTATGTACTTTGAAATACATTAACTTTGTTAACACTATTGTAGATAATAATTTGTTGTTTTCGAGCTATTCAAGTGCTCCGTTACACATGTACACCGCACACTGTGTATATTTGTCCTGCGCTTATATATTCTGTTTATACGTTGCAACCTCTTACAAGCTACATATCAATTTTAATTATTATGTGCCAAAGCAATTGCAGAGCATTTCTTTTCTTGAAACTTACACAATATAAAAATCGTTGCCCATTCACAACAATGTTTACAATAGTACATGGGAAGTGGACCATCTACGTGAAACGAGAGGAGATCAAAGCAATATTTGCAGTAGGTATGACCACATCTCAGAGCCATTATATTGCTACGTGTTAGTTTAATGTAGCATTTATTGCATACTGGTACAGTACTTGCTGTAAAAATAACAATCTTTAGTTAATGTATCTTAACTTATCTAATCCTAATTTATTATACATATTTAAATCTTAATTCATTGAACATATTTAAATATGTTCAAACACTTACTGCTGCAACTTTTTCTGCAAACTGCACACATCCATACACACTGACCCAACATATTTAATGTACAGCAATGATTTTTTAATTCTGGTGGGAAAGAGTCTCTTAAAATATATGCCAATCGATACATTTCGTCGTTAACGGATTTTCGAAAGGGCCGTATATTCCTATTTATTTCGTTAACTTCGCAGTCGGTGAGATGCATCCTTTTGCAAGTTTTGTTTTGAGTGCAAAACTCGTTCTTGCATTTCTCCACCTCGTGACGCATCTTGCAAGGATTTCTCATACATACGCGAAGCATGAAATCACGGCAAGTCATTTGCTAGATAAAATAAAACGACAAAAGTAAAAAAAGACAACACCAGCGATAATAAACGACAAAAGCAGCAAAAATAGTGACAGAAGTACTACAGAGAGTCTATGTCAGAGCTACAAGGTTATAGTTATTAAACACGTGACATATGTTGCGTACAAGAAAACGTTTATTTTACACCCGATGAAAGTTGTCTATGCTAAAGGCCTTTACACATAAAATTCCGTAAGGACGTAAAACGTAAGCATAAGAAAATCGACCAATCACAGTCGAGAACGTAAGGCAATAACGTAAGCAGTAGCAAATCCAATCTGTTGATTTTCTTACGCTTACGTTTTACGTCCTTACTGAATTTTATGTGTGAAGGCGTTAAGACTGGCTACGTTCAAAGATAAAAACAGTTCAGCGAGCGCTCAGTGATTTTTTAATATGTTTGGCTCCTTTGATTTTCTCACGGATTTTAGTGTAGAAGCAAATCGTAATATAAAACAATTGAGCACTCACTGAGCTACTTTTTCCCATGCACGTAGGAATATCTGGATCGACCATATTTTCACGTAATCGAAAATTGAAAAAGATGGATATGAACAACCAAAAGATCTGGAACACGACATCTGTCATGTTTCAATACTACAAACAAGCCTAAAGCCCGTATCAGACTACGGATTGGGATTGGGATTAGATTGAAATTTAAACAATCACAGTAAAGTTTGCTAATCCTAAGTTCAGTAACTTTTACTCTGATTGGTCAAATTTCAATCCAATCCCAATCCGTAGTCTGATACGGGCTTTAGTGTGCACTCAGTGCGCACTAGTGCAAGCGACCGCATTTGCTATTACTGCCTTTTTGTCTTCAGGACCGTGTTGATAATGACACAGCTAGTTTGAGAAAATTTTTTGGCTTAAGTTATAAACTATTTTTAAAGCAAAAAGGG